TTATTTAAATAATAATATTTATTATATTTACTATAAGGGGTTTTTTGCCTGCCATTATTAGCATATACATTTCTATGATCTTAAAGCTACCACTTAAATATGCCCACACACCTATAAATATTTGGTCTTTTACCTGTCTCATTCATCTAAACGGTTTGTCATCTAGATTTTCATTATTCTGGAGATGAAATACATTCATCTGTAAAAGCACCTTTGATATCAAGGCTCAGGGTTAATGACTATTCCAGGCACTTGTATGTGGATGTCCTTAATTACCGGTTAGACAGGCAGTAGGAGCAAACAAACATGTGATTCAACTAATGAAACTGCTTAAGATACAATTAAAATATTTAAAAGGTATTGTTTTGTGATCACTCAGTCTGAACCAAAAAACAAGAAGCCAGGAATCCTTATGTACTCACTGATCCCCAAGGCCCTACTTGCCAAGATGCACATTCATGAAGTTCACATGGTGTTATTGATTCTGGTCTATCATTCGGATTACAGAAATCATCTCTCAGTTGTTCATCATTAAGTTGGCACCACACTTGACGATGCTTCATTCCTCTGCCACACGTGACAGGACACTGTAAAATTAGTAGAGTCATCAGTTTGTAAAGACATGAATCTGCATTAATGGCTTCACTTTCTTTTAATAAGCTGTTGGATTTTAAAGATCACATAAATAACAAAAATGTTCCATGAAGGTAAGTAGTCCAATAAAACTAGTTCTTTTGCGAACCCTCAATTTCCTGTAAACATCAACCCAAATGATAATACAAAGGAACCACTATTAAGTTTCTAAAGCTACAAAAATATAAGAACAATGTACAGACCATTTACTTCCATTAGAATAAAGAATATTTGTTTAAAGTATGAGTGCACGTCACAGTTTTCACAGGAAAAATGTTTAAGCTACCCACGATTCTTTTACACCCATATATTCTATAAGAAAACAGATACAATTCTGTTCTTCAGTTGGCTGGATGGTTCTCATTGCTTCCTAAAAAAGGAAGGTATGCATATTACTGTAGACAGATTTACTTTAAGTGCTACCCTACCTCTTTTAAGGTAACGAAATTGCAGAGAAAAATAAATTCTAGGTGTGTTTTTCAGAAATTCTGATGCCACTTGTACATCTGGGATGTATAGCTGCCAAATGCTAGGACTTCAGAATTTTTATTATCGTGTGTCCCAAAATAGCCAGAACAAAAAACCCAACACTTAAGGCAGCTTATTTTAATATTGATGATCAAGACCAAAGGCATCTTAAGTTCTACATGGTTCATTACCTCGCTCCACTCACTAACAGACCAGCTTGGACATAAGAATTCATTGCAACTCTGTGTTACAACTCTTGGAAGTTCCTGGCATTCTCTGTCAGGAAGGTGACGACCCAAATTGTTCATACAAAAAGCTTCTCTGGTTCTGACACCTCTTTCACAGCTCCTGGAACACTGTGGTATGTAGACAACATTATGAAACAGGAAACATAACATGATAAAACCACGTCAAGAGAGACATCAACGATTGTGTTAGACAAATTTATCCTACATTTAAGCTACAGACTGCTAATATGTTCACGTGAGATAAATTTGGCACTTTGTTTAGCAGTTCCAAGATAAAAACCTTTAATGAAGATTACAGCTGAAATTGCACTTCTTCTTCAAAATACTCAGAACTAAATTATTAAGACTGTAAATAAGATATACACCTTTAACCACCAGATCTCCTCTGCTGCCTTCCAAAGCCAATCTGCAAACAATTTAGCTACAGTTTCTTACAAAAATATGAGGAAGTTGCTGAAATATAAAGATTGGTTTTAGCTCCTCCTACAACTCTGCATTTGACAAACATCACTTTCTTTCAGTTACTTAAACTAAAAAAAAAATATATATATAGAAATAAAAACTTTATATGAACACTAACCAGAACTATAATGCTACAATTACAAGGTTTTGAATTTATACCTCTGACCATTCTGTGTAGTGCCAACTTGTTAACAAACAGTCACCATGACAGGGCTCTCTGGTTGGTGGTTTCTGTTGATCAGTGCAGTACTTATCATCCACTGGAGCACTAAGTCCTTTTGAAATAGAGTACTTCATGCAGTGGATCTCTATAGACCGATATCCTGGGCCACACTTTGATGTGCAGTCACTTTTACCAACATTGTGCCACCTAGGAGGATAAATTGTTATAGAAAGCTAACTATGTTTTAAAAAATAAGACCACGGTGAATAAAGCACTCGGAGAATGTACCAGTAATTGTAATGTAAATACAGATATGCATTTTAGGGAACGGATAAAACTGTTATCTCATGACTGGAATTTTCAAAGCAATATAAAAGAATTTGACTCATAGGCTTAAAAACATCTTTTTAAATTTAAAGAATCTTTTGTCTTAATCTCCTAGGTGACTTTGAAATATGTAAGCTATAATTCTAACTGTTCATCCCCTGAACACTTCAGCGTGGGCTTTCTTAGAGCACAAGAATACAAGTCTGTTTCAAATTAGTTCCAGTTGTGGGTACAGTTCTGGTGAAAAATGTATTCTGCCCAGCGATACAAGCTTTTGCACCAGGATATATAGAATGGATTCACAATCCTAACAAAAGACTTTGTACTTCACCAATAAAAATTAGAAAAGTACACTAGTTCTACTTAGATTCAGAGGTGTAAATATAATGTATAAACCCATTATACCAATAGATTTGAGGAAAGGAAGGAGAGATTGGAGGGATGAGAGAGGTAGAAAGGGGTGGAGGGACAGAGGATAAAGCAATCTGAATTACTTTGTTTCAATCTCTATCAACAAAAATATGTAAGATCACAATAGCTCCATCAGGTAGGAACCTCTTTTTACCTTAATTCACACTCTGTATTACACTCCTCGGCAACATCTGGTAGAGTGGGTATAAGTTCACATCTTTGATCAGACACTACCACATGATCACTTTTACGTATGCATGTCATTCTTCTTCTTCGAATACCTTGAAAAGGAACAAAAAAAAGCTAATAAAGGGCTAAAATAAGAGTGCCTTTTTACACTAATGGATTCCATTCATCATTTAGGCATTTAACTGAGATACACCATTAATACCAATCATTGCATACAGCAAATTCTGCACAAACATGCTGCTTTGCACAGCTGACTACACTCCAGGTGGAGAACAACCTTGTCCCAGTTAATCTTGCCACCTCCCAGCTGTACTACAGTGGTCTCATGGGGATACCAACTTCCAGAAAACCGCAGAAGTGCAACAGTCCATTTACTCATCAGGCTACGTACTCCAAATGTATCATGTCTGTCCTTTGCTAATTACTAAATTTTCAAACCACCATGTTAACTTACAGGTTGTGATGCTTTTCTTTAAGGAAGCAGAAAATCTGATCACAGGGTACCTAAAAGATCTGGAGTGCTGGGAGAAGTACCACAGTTGACAGATGCTCTGCTTCTCTAGCACATGAGCATGTCTACAGCCTGACTCAAAATCAGAAGAAACGCACCACCAGATATCTACAGGCATTTCTAGCACCTGCTAATAGCAGTATTTATCAAAAATATACATTTTATATACATGCTTCATGCATATTGCAGTTTTATTTTTACACTGGAATTGCCTTTAGAATAACAGTCAAAAATTGTAAATACATCTTTAAGTAGCTTCACCCCATGTAGCAGATAATCAATATGAAAGACACTAGACAAATCAGTGATCATCTGCAAACAGGATAACGGAAGCCAAATACATATTAGCACATATATATATATGTGTGTGTGTGTATAGAGAGAGAGACACACAACACACCACTTTCTAAGGATGCAGTTGAATCTAACGAGTCAACTTTTATTTTTATAAACCATGCCTATGGCTACAAAAGAAAGGAACAGAAATGTAGTTTTGACCATAGAATTGCATTGCATAAATACTGAAAATAGCAAAACAAAATCAGAAGCCATTCTGCCCTTAAAGGCTCTGTGCACCCAAAGTTTATTGAGAGCGCCAAGTTTCTTCCTTACAAGTAGGGGTGAAAAAAATCTGAGTCCTTAAGACTAGTCCCTTCATAAGTCATTAGGTCTTTGGTTCTGGTGAAAAAAGAATTCACAGTACCTCGGCACATCTTGCTGCAGTCTTGCCAGGGTCCATAAGGATTCCATGTAAACAGATCATTTCCATCTTCTATTGGGATATTGAATGAATAACGCACATCAGGGTTGTATAAATTCCCTAAAACCTTAATTGAGATAAAATGATAGCTGTTTTTCAGTGAATTTGAACATAAAATTACGAACATAATGATCACGTAGTAAATTTTCAAACTTATGAAAAAAGTAAACATGCACCTGTACGGTTAGCTCTTCTTCGATTCTATCAGTGGTGTTAATTCGTTCTATTGTATTGTTTGAACCACTGTACTCAAAAATGGCTCCTTGTATATTCATTTCTCTTTTTGACATGCTTACAACAAAATTTCCATTCAAGATAAAATTTCCATGAATATCAGACAAAGCTATAAGTAAAATAAAATATTGGAAATAAAGCATGTATTTAATTAAAAGGTTCTATCAATAAAAACTCTTAATAATATATCTTCCCACCAACACTTAGCTTTATTTTAGTCCATGTGTAATACTTTGAAGTTGTATCAAACAGTTTAATGCATGAATTCAATCCTAACGATCAGTAACTTTCACCTAACCAGTTGTCACGGATTTTCTCTGTTGCCTATTCCACATTCTCGTATTTGCTAGAGCTACTTTTAGTGACTTTTAAAAGCAAATTTTAAAGTAAAAATAAAGTAAAACATTAAGCATTCATTATAATAATTCAATATAATGACCAATTTTCAATAACAAAGATGAATAACAAGCTAAAAATTAAATTTAAAAACAAAGTAAAAATTTTCAGTAAAGGCATGCTATTCAGGCATTACTTTCTTTGAAATGGCAGCTAATGTTAGGGGTGAGGGTTGTTTCTCTGTCCTGCAAGATGCATGTGCAACAACAGGGCAACAGGTAGCAAGGAAAACATTTTGAAAACTCTGAAGTTTGTTGAGTAGCACGGTAACGGAAGATGAGACAAGGAAAAGTACTAATATTCTCTCAGACACTTCAGATAGAACAGAAATACTGTGAAATAGAACAACCAAGATTTTTGGTACGATGTGCTTATGATTTCTTTGCTCCTCTTGCACATTTGCAAATCTATCAACATGTGACCTTTACACTCAGATATGGTAGAAAAAATAGAAACATAAAACAACTGATAAGTTCGCCAAAGGTCAGATTGCTTTGTTTATAAACAAAGTGTATGCTTCGAAGATTTAAAACCACAAATACCTGCATTATTCCTGAGTTCACTTGTGGAGTTTTAATTAACATTGGCACAATAAAGTAAAAAAATGACAAAACGATGCAATGTGCTATCATTCCTATTCTCTGACAAATGAACACACATGTTTAAGAATTAGAAACCTAACATCATCTCACTCATTTTTCCAAAACCTAATACCTACAGAGAGACTTAGGCAAATGATAATACAATGTAATTAGGTATTTGCTCTAAAGAGTTTATCAGACTTCTGATAATACACGGCTACAGTGGACCTCTGGCAAGGGCACAAGAACTATCCACCAATGTTATATACAGGAGACTTTTACCAAGGTAGTTGTCATCTTCTGGTTTCCCTGAGTAGCTGTGCTGCTGAATATCAATGTTTGTTGCTCCTTTGGGAATATTTACTACAACATTGTAACCTGCAATGTAATTATTCACAAATTAATTATATACAGAAACAGTCAATACTAGTCATGCTAGTCAATATGAACTAGTTTTATTCACAAAACCCTACAGTGCACCAGTGACACTCACTGCTGAAAGTCCTCATGTTTTAGGAAGGAAATGTGAATATCTTTATACATATTACATTTCTTTGTTGGTGGTTTTTTTTTTTTTAATTAGTTGAACTGAATTTTTCATTTCATAACTCATTAAAATTCATTTCTGTGTTTAGAAATGTGAACTCAATTCTCTACCAATAACATGAGTTCAACCTACTCAGAAAAATCTCTAGATAGCAGCACCACTCTAGAAAGCAGTCAAGTATATCAACTGGAACTTAAGAAACATTGTGGCTTCTCACAAAGTTTAACCACAAAGCTTTCATACAAGTCTGAATAAGTCACTTAACACCAAATATCTCCACTCCCTGTTTATACAATTGAGTTAGTTTTTCTCTGTCTCACAAGACTATTGCATGCCAGCACTCTAAACAACAAGTCCTAAATACCCAAACATTTCAGTGTTGCAGGCCATACACATCAGTAGATACATCAGGTAAACTAGCCATGCTTGATACACATTCTGCTACTTAAAATGTACCCTAGTGCTCCCTTCAAAATACAAATGCTTCACAAATGAGTCATCGTTTCCTGTAACACTTCCAAGAACTATTACAGTAGCCTTGTCATAAGGTAACAAAATAAGGTGCATCAACATGTATTTTTTAGAACTGTCGCTCTACACATAAGTTGAAAGAAATTAAAGCTGTTTCTCATAGATGCTAATCACAAATTCAAAACGATTCTAATGACTAAGAAAAACTGAGTATGGCAAACAAATAGTACGTATGGAAACAAATAATAAACACAAACATGCAATCTGAAGCATTAATATAATCTTTGCTAAGTTTTCCACTTATCTTGCTGTGTTTAACAGTCTTGCCATGACTTAACTTTTTTGTGGGTAAAAATTTAAATGGCAATATCCCTTTCAATTTCATAATTCATTAACTTCCCAGTACTTTTAATCTATTAAAACTATGCCATGCATTTAAATGAACATTTAATCTAATCGCAGGTCCATAACATTTACCAGCTGGGGGCAGTACTGCAATTGTAAATTGACACTCTGCATGCTCTGGATAAATACACGGCGTTTGGTCAATCTTCCAATATATTGGGAAGAGAATCAAAACACGCGCAAAAAAGCCTCTCATCTCACACACTGAAAACTTTGTGGTAATAGAATGACAGAAGACAAAATATGAGGGGGAAACTATAAACACAACTGCATAGCATGTTGTCAAGGATACACAGGAGAATAGATCACATACTAAGGCACTGAGAAAGACGATTTCCCAGGAGATCCTCAGATACTCTAACTTGATGCAATAATAATAGCCAACATAATAATTATGTGTACATAATTAGATCACCATTTCCTAAATTGAGAGCTAAGTAAATTAGTATTTCATTGTAATGAATTTCTGATGATAGTTTCACTACTGTTTAAACAGTTAATGACAATATTACAACTGTATGAACACAAGCACATACCACAGGCTGCTATCATCTAATTCTAAATTCTGCCCCAGCAAAATGACTCATTTAGTATGGAAGGGGACCAGGAGAAGTTAAGAGAAAAAGATCAAATGCACAGACTTTGGCATATTGCTCTTGTGATCCTAACACAGAACTTTTTTGGAAAAGAACATTTCCTCAGACAACGTTTTTAGTCATTAGCCTAGTGATGTCATAGGCCTCCTATGGATCCTGAAGTTTTAGTGATCTACTAGCTACAAACTGTTGTCGCATTGCTGCACTCCTACTTGAGCATACCTGAGTGATAATCCCAAATGATTAGCATACTGTCCAGTAGTACAACTCAGTATCATCTTTTAAAATATCAAGAATTTGAACATAATGTAAAACAATCAACTAACGGTGAATAAAACCAAAATAATAAATCAAGGTTTTCCTCACCCCAAAACGTGGTGGGTTTTTTTTCCCCTCCCACTTCAGTTAGAAGCAAGTTAAGTCTGTGACAATACAAAGCTGATAAACCACAGTCTCAAGCACACTTGTATAAATGGCAGTTTCATGTAATGGTCACTTTATCAAATGTATTTATAACAGAATTCATGTGCTACCTATAGGCAAAAAGATGTTCCATAGCAGTGGAAAACAAAAACACTGACAGTCCTTTATTCAGAACTATCAAAATAACGGATTCTTTTCCTTCAGTATTTTGACCACATGTTCAGAAATCCAGTCTCTAATAGCTGGCTGTGTCTTCTTTCAACTTCTCAAGACAGACACAAGAAAAGTTACATGTATTTGTATGGGAAGGGTAGCTGTATCCCACCTTTAAGATTTTTGGTACTTTTCACTTGGCACGAGCCATCTGCCAGGATAAAAAAAAAAATCCAACAAGATACTGGGCACACTTTCCTCTTCGACCAGCAATTCTTTTGTTCTATGAAGATCCTATTTGGCAGCTCTCCAGGTACCATTTTCACTTCACCTGTGGTCTCTTTCAACCAGTGAAGCAGCAACAAGGGGCCTTTAAAAATCTGATATCAACCTGGAGATTTCTATCCGTATGGTCTATCCTGTAACTACTTAACTTCACTGCTACACACATACAGTAATCTCTGTACAGTAGTCTGCTTCCCAGAAAGAACTACATATAGAAGAACTAGCTCTATTAGAGGAACTAAATCTAAGAAATAGGAATTGCCAGGGTTACTCAGAAGTTTCTCATTCAGTACATGCCAACGAAGATAAAAAAATATGAACATTGCTGCCCATGTTCTCTGGAAAGAGAAGGCTCATATTTCACAGGCTGTCTTTTTCACTATAGGAAAAAAGGATCCTCATCAGCTGCTCACACCAGACTTGTCGCTATCTCTTTACACAATCAAAAGGAGACATTGGAGTAAGTCCTTCAGCAGCACAGTTTCAGACGAGAAATGCAAAGTACAAAGCAGGAAGCATTCTTCCTTTTAAAGTACTTTTACCCTCATCATATCTTTTACTACTGTCTTTTGTTTTGACCTTAGAGCATGTTGATTTTTTCTTTTCCCACGTGAATGGGTTAGTGTGTCACAGTGTTTGCCTCTGTATCCTTGACAGGGCACATGTGACCAAAAATCAGAGATATTTTTTGTTGATAGTGGCCCCAAAGAACATACATTGAAATCCCACTTCCTCAAATGTAAAACATAATTTCTAAGCCATACTGAAATGTGCATTAAGATTTAAAAAAAACCCAAACATACCATAACGAGCACTGTTGAAAGTACCTGCAAGAGTCTTACACGAAGAATTATCACCACCACAGATTCCACATTTGTCTCTTCTTGCCTTGGAATTCAAAACGTGATCACAGCCTGCTTGCTACAAAAAAAAACAAAAAACAAAAAACAAAAAACCCCACAATAGCCCTGTGTCATTCAGCCCAATGGAAAACAATGAAAACAATCAATGTAAGCTTCCCACTCCTCCAAAATATTCTTATTCACTGAATATATCTGGTCTTCCTTGGCAATTCATGAAAAGCCTTTTATGTTTTTGGGTGCTGTGATGTAAGGGTAAAACATAATAGTGCTGTTGCACTAAGAATGTACAATCCGAATACATTTAATATGTCAAGAGCTATATAAGAACACATATGAGTATAAAGATTTTACATTAAAAAAAATCAACATAGTGTATAAATTCTAAATTATATTTACATTAAAAAATCACAGAATCCTAAAAGCAGTATCCATGTGTACACGGTCATCAATTCTTTTAAAGTCTGTCATTACTGCAAAAGAAGCAAAGGAATACTCATAGACTGTGCCAGTTGAACTAGTGGAAATACAATTTTTGTTTATGTATCTTCACTTAAACTTCCTTTTTATTTTTTTTTTTTAAATTCTGATAAACAGGACAATTCTCTGGCATTTCCTCTTTCCTCTTGATTCAACACTGTAAAAAAGGCTATATTTTTCCCTCATCCTGAATTTACTCAGTTTCACTGCAATCAGAAGAACAACCTGGGCTTGACAAAAAATGTCTTGAGTTGTTATAACATAGCACCTTGCTCCTCCCAACAAAGTCTTGTGGTGCTTCCATAATTGCTGTTAAGCAAAGAATGCTGAAGTGATCCCTTTCAAGGGTTAGTTCCCCCTGATTTTGCAATGAAATAATAAATATGTAATCTAGGTATCCTTGGATTTTCTACTTTTTTACTTCTTTGATAGCAGAAATATGATGGCAATAAACACACAGCATGCTTCTTTCCTCCCTTTAAGCCAATTCTGGATCAGCTCACTTTGACAATATTGACTCTCTCACATATCAGGCTTAATGAGAAAAGCCTATGGGTCTTCATATTCAACTGTAAGTTCTTCACTTAATTGCCTCCATTTCCAGATTTTTAATTTGGTAGGGGTTAAGACTAAAGTAAGTTCAAAACATCTTCATTTACATATTTTCAGTAATGGTTATTTGAATGAATATTTAATATCTACTTTATCAACTGTTAAAATTGATTTTAATAATTAATAAGTTTAGATTTAAATACCCTGCATAAGCCTTGAACACAAAGGTCATTGGTTTCTGCTCCACAGGGAGTACCATCAGCAACTCTGTCCTTCAGCTGATAGTAGGAAGTTGTTCCAGAAACTCGGCAAAAAAGTTTACAGCGATCTTTCATAGAAACTGGAAAGAAAATCCAACAGGTTTCTTGTCTGTTTTAAAACTTTAATTAAAGTAACATTTTTATTTGATTAGTTGAAAAAAAAATCATAATTACTTACTACCACTGTATTTTGGAAGCCAGCGAACAGCAGATGTAAGACCATTGATATTAAAGTGTTTGCCATCAAATTCAGAGCACTGCTGCTCCCGGAAATCTTTTTTGCCTTTTGGACATGAATCCGTATTACATGATCGAAATTTCATCCTGCGGCCAACACAGTACTTTCCTCCATTTCTTGGTCTAATAAAAATAGGTAAATGTAAAACACACTCAGTTTCTGAAATCGCTGTTTTTCCTTGAAAAGTGGCTTGAGCCACTGATCTAAAGGGGAAAATCCCACACAGCAGTCTGCCATCTGTTGCTGACTTTCCCCCCCACACTCTTATCTTCTATTGCACTGTGCACGCACTTACACCTAAGCTAAAAAAAAAAAAAATTCGTGCAAAAAAACTACTGCTCAGTTAGGTGGTAATCAAGCTACTGATGTTTATTAATGTCTATTACATTTTTTTCTCTTTTACAGTCATAATTATTTTGCCTGGGAAAAAGCATTACTAACTTTAATGCTTTTATCAATTTAGCTGCGATTACAGCCCTTTTCTTTTTTTTTTTACAGAATCAGCACCTCCCTCAGTAATTTGAAATTACTATTTTACAGAGTGACAAAGAAAGAAGACAGAGTTAGGAGCTTACACACTCTTTTCTATAGCCCTAATATCAATTTTGGTTTTGGGATCAAAAGAAATAAAAAAGGAAAATTGTGGAAAACACCCCTTTTACTGTAAAATCTAAAATACATTTCCTAACTGTTATAAACCCTGCTACACAATAATTAAGCATTAGTAGGTTCTTGGGGAGAAAAAAAAAAAAGAATAAATCAATAGCGTATTGATACTATCAGTTACTATAGACTAACAGAGGCATATCTAATGGGAATCTAATCTACCGCCTCTTACTCAGAGACAATAAAATAAGCCAGGGTCGTTTGATTGAGGTTCATTTATCCTACTGATAATATCAAGATGACACGACTTCCTAGAAAAGCCATAAAACTATCTAGGTTGAAGGTATGGCTCTGCTTCGGAAAAGTTAAGGGTAAAGTTCTCATTGACTTTTATTACAGAGAACAAAACCCACAGTGAATTACTGAGTCAATGGAAGTTTCTCATTATAAAGGTAAGTTGTAAATGACTCTGCTGTAACCAATATTCCTTGTGGGCATTACTGGTGGTGATGTTGTGAAAAAGCCTTAAATCAAAGCAAACCAAGCATTTCACTAAAACAATTACCAGGGAATACACCTATTTCTTTTTTCAGCTTTTACTCCAAAGAAAGCATCTCAATGTTTAAAGAAACCATCAGCATTCAGAGTAAAGCTAGAAGAAAAGACCCTGTCAAAATAAGTCTTTAGAAATATCTACAAATATGAACGATATAGGTGAGAGAGAAGAGTAATCTAAAAGTTCTCTGTATATTCGAGTCTGTAAACTTCTCTCTCTTTTCAAACATGGCTGAAACAAGCTTTTTTGTTAGTGCTTCAAACTAATTTGTGCAACCCACAACATCTTCATTTTGTTTTGAACCAGTCCATTGTGTAGTAATATCTTTATCACGCCCTATCGTAAAACACAATAAAAAACATACTCTGGTCTATTACACAGCCTGATGGTGCTCTTGATTCCACCTCCACAAGTTCTTGAACATGAGCTATAAGGTCCCCATGGTCCCCATTCTCCATCTACAGGACGCATTTCCATTTCTCTGCTCACACAAATTCCGTGGCGGCAGTGCTGCACAGTTGACAAAAAAAAAATTGAATTTGTAAGACAAACAAAAGGTTACTGTAAATTTTACGCAAAGAAAGAACAAAATTTAAAAGCTCAGTGCTCTTAACCTGGGTCTGGACATTTTCTAAAATGTTCAAATTCCTTTAAGATTTCTTACCCAGTAGTCATATTTTCAAAAATGCTGTCTAGAGTTCTTTGCCCTCTATGAAAACTACTGCATGCTGAATATATCTTTAGGTCTTGTCACTTTATTCAGATGCCCATATAAGAAACTTAAAATCCTGATCTTGAATTCACAACATGTTTTCATGCACAAACTTCAAAAATAGATTTACAGTCAGCTTTTATGTAGGAGATTCTTTCAATTTAATTTTGATATTCATGCTGATACAGAAAGTGAAAAGATACAATAACAACCCACCAAGAAATTCAGGGTGTTTTGAGCATCTAGTGGGATTGTTTGGGAAAAGCAGACAAGCGTTTAAGACCTTGTTTATGCTAAAGCAAGATGATACTAAAGATTCATGCTTAAACCCAGACTTTCACACCTATAAGAAAAGGTGTAACATATTTTATATTTTTATTTATATTTTACAATAATTTTATATTTACTACTAATTTAATGTATTCTCTATTGCCATTAAAAATGAATTAGTAGTTACAGAAATTATAATTCTTAGAGCAAGACACTACCTTGCAATATCTATTGTGTTACTCTGGATTTTA